ATTTTCTTTTTTCCATTTCATAGTTTATATTTTCGAGCTGACCGAAGATCAGGCACCTTAATTAGATTTTTCAGGCATCAGGTAAAAGGTAAGATTCTTGATATGTATGTTTGTGTTGTTTGAGAGATGTCATCATGGGGAAGTCAGATTTTACACGCTGGAAAAATGGGTTTAAAGGCTGTCTCTGGGCCCTGTGTTTATGTGGTGGTTCTGTTGCCTATTGGTGCCTTTCTTTACCTTCTCAGCATTGAGTGTAACCTGCAGTTTCATGGGATTCAGGTTGTTGTTGGAGACAGGTAGCAAGATGAGTGTGTACGTGGCCAAGTTCAGCATAGAGTTTTTTTGGTAAAAGGTTGTATTTCACACTGTCATCGAATGACTGCATACTCTGTTTCTCTTGGCCTCTCTGTCTCTCTCCCTCTGTCTGTCTGTCTTTGCCTCATACACACACATCTGCACCTCCAGAGAGATCACGCACAGTTGTGTACAGGTAGCAAGCAGACCTGATTACTTTCCAAGGAGGCCCGCAGACAAATGGGTCTCCCGCTCCCGCTCTCACCAGCACAGCGCCACCCCGCAGCCTCGCATCCTGAGCCCTCTGCCACCGTTGCCACAGGGACTGTTGTCACACGAAGAAAAAGCAGAAAGAATCACCCGTTTCCCTTTTAGAGCCTTGGAATAGAAATAGCCCTCAAATTAGTCTTGGGCAAAGTTTATTTGCCTGCGTCATCTTGTCCTCATACCATCCGTAATCCAAATTCCTGCAGATTTTCCATCTTAATTTCTATCCATACTGCACCGAAGTCTGAAAGTAAGCCAGTTGGAGATGCTGTTGATTATTAAACAGGGGCTTATCTGCCACCCACTCCTTAGTGTGGCTTAGATCAGTGGGCTTGCTTAGCATGACTGGCAGCTCTGAGGGGACAGGAATTCAGCTGGGAGGTAAGGCGGGGTTAGTGAGCTCTGGGGAGAGGGCAGGACCTGAGGCTTGGGAGGGAGACACCAGGAGACTGTCAGAAGGTGATTTCCCTTCCACTACCCAGAGAAATGGGGGGAAAAAGGCTGTTTCCTTCCTGGGCGGCCATGTGTCCTGGCCCTAGTTCAGTCTCTGCTCAGAGTCAGACCTGCTGTATGAGTTACATATTGTTCTGATGATGAATCCTATTGCGAGGACAAAAATCTACTCATTTTGTGCAGTTTTAGCAACCTTAAGGCACATGCTCAGTATTGAATTGTCATCATATTTTCAGTTAAAAAAAAATAAAAAATGCATCTCCAAACTCGCTTTGTGACATTTTCCCCTGAGAACAGCTCTGCGTTCCCCCAAGAGCTGGGCTGCCTGTGTTATTTTAAGATTTCCAACCCGCAAAGCAGCGACCCTGGAAAATGCCCGTGAGCAGTTCTGCAAAGGTTTCCAAACACCCCCAGCGTTAGAGAGAAATAACTGTGCGTTAGTGGCGAAGAGTCCCCAGGACCAAGGCGGGCGTGGGCGCTGCTTGTCATTTTCTTTAGGGCTCGTCTTGCCCGCTCCTGGCACCGTTCCAGACTTACTCCTTCGTCGGCCAATCCCTCCTGCCCTCCGGTTGTACTGTCTTCTAGCTTTACCCCCACCGCCTCTTTTTGATTTTGAAATAGACCCTTATTCTCTTTAGGCATTTTCTTCCGCTTTTTTCCCGAAGATATGAGGAATTCTTGCCCATCTGACGTCTCTGTCATTTCATAGGGGAAGGTCATGACCCCAGGCTCTCAAAGGATGCCTTTAGCGGAGTCTCACACACACAAGAGGGGTCTGACTCAGTAAACCACCGGTCCCTTCTGCTTTCGTGTGGCCAGAATTTGATCAGATAGTATTATCTCCTGGCTTCACCTTGAGAAAAGAAAGAAAAAGGAAAAGAAAGAAAAAACCCAGTTCTGGTCTTCATTGGTGGGCATGCTTCATGCATAGGACACATGAGGAATCACCAGTGTGTGTGCAGTCCAGATGTTAATCGAGGCCCACGTCCCCGCATCCCCAGGCTGACGGGAGCTCTCCAAGCAAGGACTGAGCACCCCGTTGCCAGGCTGAAGTTTTACGGAATTGACTGAGTATGTGATGCATCAGTTATGTCAAAACAGAGATAGGGAACTTCACGTCCAGGGATTTCTGAGTTAACACCGAAGAACATGCCAAGTTAAACAGCCCATTAGAATGAGACAAGTCGTTCCCTGGGGCCTTGCCTGGGTCTCAGTCCTTTGACTCATGTCCGGGTAGGGAGATCGGCACAGCCACCGAGTCGGCGACTGGCGGCTGGTTTCTGTGTCTCTGTCTCCCGTGCCTCGGAACCTTCCCTGCCTCCTCTCTTGGGCGTGAGGGGTTGGGGGGCATGTGGGTTGAGTGCACGTGGCCTTGGCATGTGCCTGGGAGAGGGCATCGGAGTCCTCTTGGCCCAGGGCCACTGCAGGGACGGGTCTAGAGTGTCCTCCACCTGTGTCAGACTCCCCGGGGTTAGCTGCCCACACTCTCGCAACAGTGGAAGGAAATGCTGCTTCGTGTCTATAGAACCAGAGCCCTTTTATTTGAAAACATGGATTTTAAAAGGGTAGCCTTTCTAATAAAGATCAGAGCTTGCATGCTGGTAGCCTCTGGAAAGGATACAGCCTACAAAAATGTTTGTTTGTCCTGTGTAGTAAGTTTGTTTGTTTTTAATAGGAATTAGTTGCTATCATTAAAAAAAAAATAGGCCCTTCAAATAAATTGTTTTATTTTGGGCTTCTCTTGGACAATGGGACGGTTGGCCTTCCTCAGGGTAGCAGTTGACCGAAGCTGGGTAGGAGCTGCTCCCGTCGCTGGGTCTTTGGATGCCAGTTTGCCACAGTCTCCACCACTCCCTCTTGTGCCTTAGCCACTGAAGCCTAGCATCACTTGCCACTGTAAGCATACTCGCACTGCTATTTGTTTCCTACCTGTTATATCACTTGCCTGGATCCCATTCACGTTTGGGTTTAAGAACCCCGATTTAAGGTAATAGGGACTGGATTAGGCTATGAGTAAGGATGAGCTCGTGTAGCCTGGCTGGGTCCCTCATCCATCCAATGGTCCACTTGTTCTCCCGTTTTCTGTCACTCCAGCCCATGAGTTCCTAACTGGCCTTTAGCTGTGCACAGGGCTGGGAGGGGGTCACCCATTTCCCATGTCACATTTGTTTCCTGCCTCCTCGTGTCCTGAAACTTCATATTCCTATTTGCTGGGCCTTGTCAGATGTCTGGATCACGAGGTGCTTTTAGGATGGTTGGAACCTATACTTGCAACCTCAGTTTGTATTTTTTTAAAAAAATATATTTTATTGATTTTTTACAGAGAGGAAGGGAGAGAGATAGAGAGTTAGAAACATCGATGAGAGAGAAACATCGACCAGCTGCCTCCTGCACATCTCCCACTGGGGATGTGCCCACAACCCAGGTACATGCCCTTGACCGGAATCGAACCTGGGACCTTTCAGTCCGCAGGCCGACGCTCTATCCACTGAGCCAAACCGGTTTCAGCAGTTTGTATTTTTAAAAACAGTGCCTCGTTCTCCCGGGATGGGTCCGTTGGTTGTCCCCCTGGGCAGGGCTCCAGGACAGGGGACTCGGAGCCAGTTAGCTCTGGTCTCCTGGCGCCTGGGGGCCCCGCGTCACAGCTGCAAGACACAGGGAAGTCGGGTGTTTGCCCGTTCACCTTGGCGTTCTGGCTTGCGGGCAGCGCCACCGTCAGGGCCTGTGAGGGGTCCGGGGCTGGAGGAGAGCGAGGGCCTCCTATGTGAGGGCAGACACTGAACGCTTTGTTGCAACTCGACTTGGTTGCAGATGGGCTCTTACTTCGGCTCCTCCTTATGCGCAGTTGACCTGAACGCGGACGGCCTCTCCGACCTGCTGGTGGGGGCCCCCATGTTTTCTGAGATCAGGGACGAGGGGCAGGTCACCGTCTACATCAACAGAGGAAATGTGAGTACAGTGCTGGGCAGCCTGTGGACAGGGGGTGGGAGGGGGACATGTCTAGCAAGTAGTAACCGAGCACCCCTCTGGGCCCCGCACTGCGCCCCGCGACGAGCTTCCTACCTTCAGAAAGCTCAGAGTTCCACTGATGGAAAGTTACAACTGCCAACACACAGGGGTTCAGAAAATCTTAATGGCGGTGTTTTGAGTGCCTACCGGGTACCAGGAACTGTTCCTCCCGCTCTCTGTGAATGAGTTCAGTATAATGTGCACCTGGTATCAGTGGCCCCCATGTTTCAGGTGAAAAACAAACAAACTGAGGCCCAGAGAGGTCAGGTAACCTGCCCCAAGTCACACAGCTAAGGAGTGGTGGGGCTGGGGTTTGAACCCAGGCAGGCTGGATTCAGAGCTTCATCTCTAGATTGTGCTGCCTTCCTCGGTGTGTATACACATCTGCCCGGGCAGCAGAGAATCCTTCTCAGGGGACACAGTGGCTAGAAGGAATCTTGAGGAAGGAGTAGGAGTTGGGCAGACAGGCAGGAGTGGGCTGGGAGCTGGGCGAGTGGGTGGAGGTGTGAGGCAGCGGGGCCACTTAGTTCAGCGTGGGGGCTGGGTGGGGGCCAAGGGCCCTAATCAGATGTCCCTTATCCTGCAGCATCATGAAAGGGATGTGATGGGGCAGAAAGATGCCTCTGTTTCCCTTTAGCCGAGTGGAGGAGGTGGTGGGGGGGAGAGCAGTGAGAAAGCGGAATCTTTTCAGGACCTGGAAGTAAGAGTGTTCAGCCAGGAGGGAATGGTTAAATAAATAAATTCTGGTACCACCAGCCTTGGAGCTAACATGAGAAAATGCTTATGAGATAATCAGTGCAAAGCAGGATTAAAAACTGTGTATACAAACCACCTTTAACAATAGAGCAAATACACAGAGGAGGATAATAACATCGCTCTGGGTGGTGGTCTTGGGCAGATTTTTAGTTTTATCTTTATCCAAAATAGCAAACATGTCATGCTTTCATCATCAACAAAAAACACACAAAACGGTGAGTGTACTTTTAAGCACTGACAAGATGCTAGATATCCCAGTTGGGTAGAGGCGCTGGCGTGTCACCGTAACCAGGCGGGCAGGTGCCAGGAGGAAAGGGCAGCCATTGACAGAGGAGCCAGGGCACACTCGAGCCTTGGGCTTTCTTGGATGTTTGCAAACTCTTTGCAAGGGAAGGAAGACGCTTCCTGGTACCTGGTGCAGCCACTGGTCACCTGCATCTCTGCTGACGTTTCAGTGAGCGGGACGGGGTGGGGGAGGTGCCTGGGGGAAATGAGGTGATCACTGTGGAGATGAGGACAGCAGGCATTCACTCAGCCCCTCCCAGCCACTCTGTCTGCAGGAGCCTGACACATCTGCGTGGGTGTTAACTTGTCTGAGGCAATCAGGCGACCAGACGGGTAGCCCGGCCATGTGTCTAAGTCGGGGTGTGGACACTTGGAGCAGGGGAGTTCCCCAGATCTTCTCTGGGAACATTTCACCCCCACATCTCACCCCCCACAGCCCAGGTTTCTTAAAGCCAAGTGCTGACCCTAAGTACCTAAGTATTCTTATTTCTCTTGAACCTCTTCCTATTTTTTTTTTTTTAAAAAATATTTTTATTGGTTTCAGAGAGGAAGGGAGAAGGGAGAGAGAGAGAGAGAGAATCACTGATTGGCTGCCTCCCCCACGCTCCCTCCAAAAGGCACCCCAGGCTGTTGGAGAGCCCCATGCTGCCCAGGTACAAGGGACCCATCTTGCCCCCAGACAGAGCGGTTTGGGTGCCTTTGATTCTGCCCAGGAGTTTCCTGTCCATGGGGATGCGCTAGAGAGGTAGTGTTCCCAGCTCTGTTGTTTTTATTGTGTTTTTGTTTTGTTTTCCGTTTTTCCTCCATCCTGTTTCCCAGGGAGCCCTGGAGGAGCAGCTGGCCCTGAGCGGGGATGGCGCCTACAACGCACACTTTGGGGAGAGCATCGCCAGCTTGGGGGACCTTGACGACGACAGATTCCCAGGTGGGTGAGCGCCTGCCCCCTGCCTTCCAACCTGGCCCACGCGTGATGCGCTCCTGGATCTACCTGCCCACGGGGGGAGAGGGCCCCCTGAGAGAAGATGCTCTCTGTGCGGGCACTCAGGGCTGAGCTCTGAGCCCACGGGCGTGGGCTTTGCAGGAGTCCCGTCTGATCAGCTCCGTGTGCTTTGCTATGTGATTATGGGGCCAGTGAACCTTGGGGGCGGTCCACTGGGGCTTCGGATGGCAGAGGAGCTCAAGCCAGCTTCCTCCTGCCGCAGATACATCTTGTTTCCGAGCCTCTGAGGCTCCACAGGGCTCTACCGCGTTGTTCGTGAAATGAGCAAGGCGAGAGTTTGACATTCTCTCCCCTGATAGTCACAGCATGCTGGACTGACTTTTTAAAAAATATATTTTTATTGATTTCAGAGAGGAAGGGAGAGGGAGAGAGAGATAGAAGCATCCGTGATGAGAGAGAATCATTGATCGGCTGCCTCCTGCACGTCCCACACTGGGGATCGAGCCCACCCCTGGGCGTGTGCCCTGCTGAGAATCGAACCAAGACCTCCTGGTTCATAGGTCGACGCTCAACCACTGAGCCACACCGGTCGGGTTGAACTGACTTTTGAATAAGTTTTCATTGTTGGGGGTTGGGGATACCGAATGTGCAGTTCTGTTTGGACAGCAGTTGTCCTTCCCGGATGTGGCCTCTCTCTCTGGCCTGTTCAGAACCTCCTCCCCTCCCTGTAGAGGCAGATGTCAGACATCAGGACCTACGGGAGCCATGTCACTGGGCGATGGGCGAGGTGGAAGAGGGACTGGGGACCGCTCTTGCTTCAGGCCAGGCTGCTTGGATGCCCTCACACCACTGGCCCGAGAGGCCTTCGTTCAAAAGCGGGGGATCGCCACTGGAGGTCACGTGGCTGCACGCCTCTCACCCTTGACCTCACTTCTGCAGACACATGACTTTCGTTAAAAGCAAAGGGCAAAAAATAAGGAAGATCTAGGCTTCGTTCCAGGAATTGTCAGTTTGTGAGAATAGTGTCAGTTTTTTTCTGTGTGTGAAGCAAATGCCATTGTATACATTTCCTTATCCAGGAATAGAGTTGACTTTTTTAAAAAAATATATTTTTATTGATTCAAAGAGGGAGAGAGAGAAACATCAATGATGAGAGAGAATCACTGACTGGCTGCCTCCTGCCCGCCCCACACAAGGGGCTGAGCCAGTAACCCAGGCCTATGCCCTGACCGGGAATCGAACCCGGGACCCTTCAGTCTGCAGTCCAATGTTCTATCCACTGAGCCAAACCACCTAGGGCTAGAGTTGGCTTTCTCTATGCAGTAACCATTGTCTATAGAATTCCCCCCTCTGGCGGATGGGAATTGGGCCAGAGGTTTATCTTTGTATTTCTTCTTTTGGGTGGCTCAGTGATATTTTTCTCCCTAAGAGAATGAGCTAGGACAGGGGTGGGCAACCTTTTTGTGAGTGCGTGCCAAAACCAGCAAAATCTCTGACTCAAAATTCTTCTGCGTGCCAACCCTAATTTTTTGAGAACATGTTACACCTACTTGATATCTCTTAAGGTGTACGTATGTGAAGAACCTTGAAGAAATAATAAAATTCATTCAAGCGACAAAAACACAGTATATGATGATGAAAAATACATTTATTTTTTAATGTATACATGTACACTGATAGTCCGACAGAAAACTTTATGACTCCGTTTGATATTATCAGTGGGACTTTTGCTGCTGCATCACTGATGACAGAGATTTTACATCAGGTTTATATTTCGTGACCTTCAGAGATATGCACGAGCTACTACTTTCATCCGTCAGGCTACTCCTATTACGAGGCTTAACAAAATTTATCACTGAGAACAAAGATTCACAAGCGTATGTGTATGAAAACATGGAGAGTAACGCTGTTGCAAAGTTTTTTAAACAGAAAAAATTTTCTGGAATGGCATTCCAAGTCCTCAATAGTTCGTTTTCCACACTTCTCTCTGGTACTCCTGTCTCTAATTGCTTTTTTTCAATGTTTTCCAAGTCAACTCTAAGGTCAATACATTTCTGCTTCCAAATTGAGCTAATCTGAAATTCAATCAACTGCATTTCCAAGTCAGCCATGTCTATGGTCTTTAAGATAACTTGTTATGTAAAATTATTTATCTAAGATGCACCTACACTGAATTTATCTGAAAAATAAAAAAGTCGATATTAAGAAAAAAATGTCAATGGGAGATTATAAGAGAGGGTTTGGCGTGCCAGCAAAAGTGACTGGCGTGCCATGTTTGGCACGCGTGCCAGGAGTTGCCCACCCCTGAGCTAGGAGCTTTCCCGGAATTAAACTCTTCCCACCTCCTATCATTTTCTTTCGACTTTTTTTTTTTTTCCTGCTGAGAGATTATGTGCCTGAGTGGATGCTTGAACAAGCAACAGCCGAGACATTTTTGGTTTGGGGGGACTCAGACATGATGGCAGGAATGAGGGAATCCGCTCTTAGGTTATTCCACGTGGCTTTTCTCACGGCAGCTGTTTCTCTCCCCTCAGACGTGGCCGTCGGCGCGCCCATGGAGGACGACTTCTCGGGCGCCGTCTACATCTACCACGGGGACGCCGACGGGATAGTCCCGCAGTACTCGATGGTAATGGTGGGAGAGGGAACTGTTTGTTCATCCATTCATTCCACTTTCCTCTGTGCCACACCCTGGGGGCCAGAGGCGCCGACAACTTCGCTCCCGCCCTTGGCCGTGCCACCCTCTAATGAAAGGCACAGACGATGGGTACTGCTGATGAGAGAGCAAGACATTTATAGACTCCAGAGTTGGCTGACATTGAGGGGTGCATTCTGCCGACACAAGATCATGTCCAAATTCTTACCCAGAGTTAGAGCGATTGATTTAAGGGGAGGCTTTCTTTGTTGTTGTTCTTGTTGTTACTCCTTTGTCAACCGTCTGTGCTAAAGCTGAAGGATCTGTTGTAAAACATGATCTAGAAAGACTGTGACCCACGGAGGAGGGACCTGAAAGCCGTCACAGGGCTGTTGTCCCATTTGGCACGGGCACGAGAAGCGGCTTACGCTCTGGCCTCGTGCCCCAGACTGGGGAACATGGAAGTGGTGAGTTCAGTTTTTTTGTCATATCAGCTTGGTGTTCAAACTTGCTGATGGTGCCGAGCCCAGCCCCTGGGAAACAGGAAGTGGTGCTCTGGGCAGCAGCACCGCCAGGATGTCTGTGCGGAGAGGGGCCCAGGCCTGCGGCGTGCTCCCGGCGGGTCAGGGACAGGGAGGGACGGAGCCCAAACGGAGAAATTCCCCATCAGCAAATACTGACTTATCGAGCGCTTATTATGCGCTCCCGCCTTCCTGCTCATGCTTATATTTCTCATCGCGAAGAGGATTATGGCTAAGGAAACACAGTGTTGCACGGAGCCTTGCTTTTATACAAGGTTCTATAAATGTTCCATAAAATGAAATGGTAGTAAAATACCAAAACCGGCTCCCGTCCTGAAGTTCCTAGGTAAGGGAAAAACAGACTTTACAAGTTGATTTTTAGAGGCAGTACGTCCTGGGAGGTCAGCTTGTACATTCATAGTTGTTCTTCTTGCTGCACTAGAAGTTGGCTGCTTACGGGCCGAGGGTCGCTGCCAGTGGGGCGTCAGGCTCCGGGGGGCAGATACCGTGTGGAGGGACAGCTCTGCCTCTTACCTTGAATCCTCCTAACAGCCATGCGCGACGAGTATTTTTTTTTTTATTGCTTAAAATATTACAAAGAGTAGTACATATGTCTCCTTTTTTTTCCCGCTTGACCTTCCCCCGGCCTCCCCTACCCCCCCGTTTCTTGTGTCCCAGATGAGTACTTTTATCACCCACCTTTTATTTGTGGGGTGACTGTGGCCCAGGGAGGTTCTTTAACTTGCCCAACATGTGGCAACAAGGCCATCGAAACTGCCAGTCCGACTCCCAAACCTTTCGTTGTACTCACCACCCTCCGCTGCACGTCGGAGGAAGGACCCCTGGCGGAAGCCCAGTGGGAAAACGTAGGAATGTGGAAACTTCGCTGTGAGACGTACGTGCTCCAAGGGGCCTTTATCCACACGGATCTTCCACGTTTTATCAGAAAAGAACCACGGATGGTGGGAATACGCTCTTAGGGGATTCTGCCAACATAGCGAAGGGAGAGGGCTGCAGTCACAGTTGGGGGTCCCATGCGCATCACCAGGGCTGCTCTAGTCTGAGTGGGGGGCACCCTTCCCTGGGGGGCGACAAGCTGAGGGTTCTTGCACATTGCCCCGGAACTCATTCCTCTTTCTTGAGTTCACCTTGAAGAGTGTTGGTTTAGGATCCGTGGTGTCTTTCTCAACTCGAGAGCGCTGTCGTGGCAGCCCCTGTGGTCTTCCTGCTGAGGAGCTGACCATCATCCCGGGAGCCCCGTCCTCGGCCAGCCGACCGCCCGGGGTCACTCTCCACGCATCCTTCTGGAAGCTTGTTCCCGGACCTCGGAAGCCAGCCACACGGGGAGGCAACCTGCGAGGGCCCCCTCCCCCTCGCTCCAGTGTTTTGTTCCGTTGCTGGGCGGAATCCTGCAGGCAGGCAGCTGACGTCTAAATGTGTGGTCAGCGTGGTGCCTGCAGTAGGAAGCGGGGATCAGCAGCTGGGCCCGGCCGGCCTTTGTCAGCAGGTTGGCTCGTTAACGTTGACAAAGAGAAGTCGTTTGGGGCTCTTAGAAAAAAAAGAAAGAAAGAAAGAAACAACTATGATTAGACTTTTCCGAGCTGCTCCTATGGATGTGATAAGGTCAGGGATTGAGAAAGGAAACTAAAACCCTCTCATGACAGATTCTCCGGGCCCCAGGTCCGGACAGAGCGGGCATTGTGTGGGCGAACTCGGGGAGGAAATCAGAAACAACCCCGGGCGAGGCAGGCGCTTTTCCTTGGCCCGGCTCGGTATTATTTCTGCTGGGTAAATTGTGCGATCGGAGTCAAGTTCTTCCACGTCGCTCGTTCCTCTTTCTCCGGGGCCCCGTGAAAAGGGTTGATTTTAGATCCTTGCGTGCCTCTCTGGGTTCCACAGCCCCCTGGGCGTGTTAGGGCGGCCCCTGCGATCTCTCCCCTCTCTCCTGCCCGGAGGACACTGTCGACAAACCTGGTGGGGCTCCTGGTTTTCATTTAGAGTTATTAGCACCGAGCAGACGCGTCTTCCTGGCTTTCTGGCCTAATGGCCTGCAGATGTCTGCGGGAGAACGTCAGCCTGCATCGCCACCCCCGAGCGGACCACCCCTCCGCTCTTCCCCCGCGCCCCGGCCGAGCAGACCTCAGACAGGCAAAGGGAGGGCAGGCTGCCGCCGGCGCTGGTGGACCTCAGAGCGAGGTGGTCGGCTTCAAGATGTGGCGTCCATCCACATTTGTTTACACAGCGCCATGTGGGATGCGGACTGTGCCTGGGAGCCAGACACATGTCTTCAGTGCTTCCGACAGGGTTCTGACTTGTACGTTGCTGCTCGCTCATCTCCTGCTGGATGGCCTCACTGGAGATGGCGAGTGGAGGGCTATTTGTAGCAGGGAATGGCCTTGGCCTAGTGTCCACCTGTAGATCCTATAGAAACTCCCCTCCCCCGGCCTCGTGACTTTTCTGGAGGCTGGCCCAGTAAGGACAAAGGTAAGGGGAGAAAGCCCACAGGGAGCCCCTGGGCATCTGTGTGCCTGGTTCTGACGAGGATTTTGCTGCGTGGCATGAAAACAAAGCATTTCTCTTGTCACCTACCATGAGGGTATCATGGACTGAGCCTCCGCAAGGAGACTGTATAGACAGAGAAGGTGGGACGGGTCAGATGCCAGAAGATAGGACTCTTTTGATTCAGGAAGCTCAGCCCCACAAAGGTCGATGTATGACGAAGGTTGCTTATCAGCAGATCATCTTGATCCACCGTGTGAACATACGGTGATGAATGATGAGTCAAGAGCACAGATGCTAGAGTGCCTGGCGTTGGTCGGGCCATGAACTCTGAATGGTTGGTTGAGAGCTGCCCTCCAGGGAGGAGGCTCCAGCGAATTTGGGGGGTTTCCTACAGTGCATGGGAGGTCCAGGGCCTTGGAGTTCTAGATTTCCGAGGTAAAGCTGCTTCACCCTGTCAGGGGAGCTCAGGAGCCTGCACATCTTCTGGTTGGCTGCATGGACAGGCGGTCGCTCGTGGCCGGCTGGTCCATCTAGACATGCGCCTTGCCTGTCCGCCTAGGGAAAGACTCCAACGTGTACCGCTTAGGGGAGGAGTGTAACATGGTTAGTTACATGTTTGGGAAGGGTGATATAAGGGAAAGTATGTTCTTAGAATTTCAGCCAGCTCTCCCCGTGTAAACACGACACAGAACCTTCATTAGAAAGGGCAGCCGCACATTATCCACTTCACACTTCACTGAACATGTCAAAACATCAACACACTGGGCTGGGTAGCTCTTTCGTTAGCCCCGAACTTAGAAACAAATGTAAATCATGGCATCTGGCGAAGGCAAGGAATAGTAAAGGAGTGTGTGGTCTTTAGCTGCCTGCCAAAGACTCCCTGATCAAATCAGGACTCCTTTTCTTTAAGCTTTTCTTTCAACAAAGTCAAGACCAGGTGTCCTCGGAAGCTGGGCTAAAACATTCACGGGGCTTATCCGGGACTGTGCTCCTTTCCGGCGACTCAGTGTCCCTGTTGTCTGTTTCAGAAACTGTCCGGGCGGAAGATCAGCCCAGTCCTGCGGATGTTCGGGCAGTCCATGTCAGGAGGCATCGACATGGATGGGAACGGCTATCCCGGTAAGCGATTTCCCTTAAAGCAGATGAGATACACCAGCGGTTCTCAACCTGTGGGTCGCGACCCCTTTGGGGGTTGAACGACCCTTTCACAGGGGTCGCCTAAGACCATCAGAAAACACATATATAATCACACATTGTTTTTGTGATTAATCACTATGCTTTAATTATGTTCAATTTGTAACAATGAAATTGGGGGTCACCACAACATGAGGAACTGTATTAAAGGGTCTCGGCATTAGGAAGGTTGAGAACCACTGAGATACACGAAGGAAAAATGCATGAGGTAGCGTGGTTACATCTCTTTAGGATTAGGAAAATTCACACCCTTAGCAGGGGGTGTTCGGCCTGGTGTTTGATTTTAAGGTGAAAATGTGGAAGTCTCTTTTGGGGTTTTTTATTTTTTTTAATATGTTTTTTATTGATTTCAGAGAGGAAGGGAGAGGGAGAGAGAGAGAGAGAAACATCAATGATGAGAATCATTGAATGGCTGCCTCTTGCACGACCCCAAGTGGTCGAGTCCACACGTGGGCATGTACCCTGACTGGGAATTGAACCATGACCCCCTGGTTTGTAGGTCAATGCTCAACCACTGAGCCACGTCCGCAGGGCATTTTGGGGTTTTTTTTAAATGACCTACTCTGAAGAGTAGAAGCAGCAGGTGGGTGGATTTTACAGTGAATTCTGTGGCTGCCAGTCTTTCTCATGAAGAAAAAAAAAAAGCACATCTACATTAAAAATTATAAATAGTGAAACCTTATGTTTTCCTTGATATTATTTTTTAAAATATGTTTTTTATTGATTTTAGGGAGAGATGAAGGGTGAGAGAGAGGAGAGGGAGAAACATTGGTGTCAGAGAGAAACATTGATCGGTTGCCTCCTGCTCTCACCCAGACCTGGGATCAGATCCGCAACCTGGGTAGGTGCCCTGACCGGGAATCGAACAAGTGACCTTTTGGTACACGGGATGACACTCAAGCACTGAGACACACCGTTCAGGGCTTCCTTGATATTATTTAATCATAGTCAGAATTTTCTTACTCTCGAGAGGGGAAAAGGGACTGAGTAGCATCCCTCCCCCTGCATGAAAATTATTGAAAGATTTTGAGCAAAAAGAAAACCGTTGGCGAACAAAGCAGACCTTCCCCGTTCAGGCTGGCTGGCTGGCTGGCTGGCTCGTCTTCAGAGTCAATGCCTTGCGGTGGTTGAAGCAAATTGAATAAAAATGTAGGATTTTCAAACCCCAGTCCCAAGTGATACCTGATTCAGGTGTTTGAAGGGGATGGAGTGGGATGAGGTAGGGAAACAGAGATCAGAATTTTAAAAATCCAAAATCATCGTGGAATTCAGAAAAAATTTCCCTGAAACTGTAGGTCATCCTGCTATCTACCTAGAGAAGATGTTTCTTTCCACGAGAGTGCTTCAGGAGGACCTGGGAGAAGTAATGAAATCCTGTAGGAGGGCACCGAGTTCTGTAGTTTCTTCCAAGGTTGTGAGCATCCCTCGCAACGGTACAGAGCCAGGAGGAGTGTGGATAGGAAAGGGTCAGTGTGGACGTTGCTGTCCCTGTAGAGCCTCATGGGCCTTTTTCAGTTTGAGAGAGCAGTTCTTGTCCCTGGCAATTTGTGGCCATCCCTAAATAATGCCTTACTACAGTTTAGCACTTTAATATATGCAAAATGCTTCCACATGCAATGGGCATCTTTTAATAACCCCTGTAGGTAGGTGGAGATGGGGGTATCCTCCGCTCCCCTTCCCCTCCCACTTTACAGTCAAGGATACTGAGCCTCAGAGAACTGAAGGGACTGGCAGGGACCACACTGTGGTGGGCGAGGACCTAGCCTGCTTCTCTATAAATGCGTGCTGAGCAGGTGTGTTAATGCTTCACGAGGAATCTGACTCTAGCTTGCATTTTTCATAAACGAAACGGCCAGTTGATCGGGTTCTTTGATTTTCAGATATTCAATCAATTTGAAAAGACGGTTGGAAAATAACAAAACGAGCTAGCGTACCCAACCGCAAACATTTCAGCAGCAACACAGTTCGTGGATTTGCTCTTTGTTTTTCCCCCAGTGAGGGTGTTGGATAGACGTAGGGCTTCAGGCTCTTGGACTCAGATGCTGGGTTCTGCGGAGGAGTAATGGGAACCCCAGGGCTGAGGGCTTATATGAGACGGGAAGAAAGGCAGAGAGCTGTTGGGCGAGTGAATGCTTCCTAAATTAAAGTTATTTAGAATAAACACTGCCAGCTAACACTTGTGTTTTGGTGTGTAGTTTACCAAGTATTTTCTGAATTAAATATCGATTTCCTATATTATATTTAATACATATTTAAGTACTTCATAAATAGTACATCGAACACATTTAATATTATGTTTGACAAATATTGAATGCATATTTTCCGAAAATGTTACCGGCTTTTGAAGAAGACGTAGGATAATTGTCTCCGTTGTTCAGACAAGGATGCTGAGCGACTCTGGGGTGGCAGAGAGTGAGGGGGGCAGTGGAAATGAGTCACATGTTCCGCAGAACTCGGGGCTTTCTCCAAGATCATGTAATTCCAGGTAGACCTCTCTTTCATTCATGGATACCCAAAAGAAATATAATGTGACCCACATATGTAATTTAAAATATTCTAGTAGCCACATAAAAGAACAGGTGGAATTAATTTCAATAACATTTTATTTGGCCCAGTATATCCAGTGTATTATCATTTTAACATATAGTCAATATGGAAATTAAGGAGGTGCCTGTTCTTTTGAACGAGGTCTTTGAAATCGGTCTGGATTTTACACTCACAACACATCTCGGTGCAGACCAGCCACATTCCAAAGGGCTCCACGGCCACACCTGGTGATTGGCTGCCGTACGGGCCCGTGTGGCTCTGACAGGACCGTTCTGGAGCCCAGAGGCTGGCCATCAGCGGCCCGACCTCGCGGCCAGGCCCCATTGCTGTGGAGAGCCTTGGGGTAGAGGGGATAGGCCTCAGCAAGTTTCTAAATCTGCATGTTTCTGGCTTTCAGATGTAACTATTGGAGCCTTCATGTCCGACAGCGTGGTTCTTCTAAGGTGAGATGTTCCCTCTTGCTTCTTGGATTACATTCTTCGTGGGTGAGGGGAGGGATTGGTGGGGGGGACTTGGAGGAGTCATTCACCATTAGCCACAATTCCCTCTGTCCTGCTCCTTGCGGGTGGAGGTGCTTAGTCCGTGGGAATGCTCCCTTTCTTTTAAAAAATATTTTAGTTTATTGATTTGAGAGTGAGAGAAGCATTAGTCTGTCGTTCCACTTATTTTTGCCTTCATGGGTTGATTCTTGTATGAGCCCTGACCGGGGATCGAACCTGCAACCTTGGTGTATTGGGAGGATGCTCTAACCAACTGAGCGCGCCGGCCAGGGCCACTGCTACCTTTCCTGTTATTCTCTGTCGCAGGGTTTCCAGCTGGTGGGCCTGCAGTGGCTTACAGGTGTGAGAGAGAGCATCCTTGGAGCTCCTAGGCAGAGTCTACGGCATCCTGGGCCATAGGGGTTTTGCGTTTAGCCATGAACGACCCTTTTCCCCTTTCGTTCAGACGCTGTGCTCCTACGATCGTTCCTGTGGGTGCCGTGACACTCAGGGGCCCGGGAAGCGCTGTCCTGTCCCATGTCTTCACCTCACACCCTGCATCCTCCCTTCCTCGCCTCATCATTCCCCACCCCCAGGGACCAGGAGCCTTCTGCCCAAGGGACAGCACATCATTCCCTGGTAGCAGTGGAGCTGAGGGACGTGGGCCGGGGCCCAGGCAGCCTGCTTCTCCCCTACAGAGGCCCGTGGGCCGCCATCCCACCCATGAACCATCTCCAAGCATTTCTGTCTGCATGAGTCAGAGCAGGCAGAATTACACTTTGGAGTGGGAGCCAACTCGTAGGTTTTGTTAATAACCCGATGGCAGAACGTTCTAAAATAGGCGAGTAGGATCTCAGAGCTGGAAGGGGTCCCAGGGGCCATGTGGTTCCTCACCCCAGGTCCCTCTCATGCAGCAGTGCCTTCAGATTCTGAGGGTACAGCTAACGCCCGGGGAACCCCAAATACTTTGAAGAGGCAGAATCCCCCTGAGGCTGAGAGTGTGAACCCGGGGGTCTGGTGTTCTGGGTCCCAAGCCAGACTCTGCCTGTATGTGAGTCTGCTGACCTCTCAGATTCTCATCTGTTCAGCAAGGTAGTAGTACCGACCCCTGGGGTTCTCATGAGAACTCCGGGAATTAGTGCCTGTGAAACACTTAGAACGGAGCCTAATCTCAGTGCTCAATACATACGAGCAATTCTGACATAAATTAGGTTACATCTGCCTCCCTCTGAGTCTGCTTCTTGGTTCCCTGTCTCCTATGTAGCAGCCCCTCAATGTTGGAAGGTGCTAAGTGTGTCCTAGTCATGACCTAGCTGATGGGCACGTTAGGTAGACTGGGAGTTACCTCAGGGTTTGGTGGGACCAGAGAAGGGAGGAGGGCCAGGAACCCCCCACAAATGTGCGTGTCCTCATGGAGAGTCCTCGGGGGCAGGGGAGGGGGCGGGTGAGGGGTGCCTTGGGCTGAGCTTGGAGAAAACCTCACTGATGTGGATGGCTTTGGGGCAGGTTTGGCAGGCTGGCGTCTTCCCCAGCCATTCAGGCTCTTTCTGTCCACCCATCTCTGCCCCTCCAGCAGCAGTGACCTCGGGGTCACTGCCTGGCTTCCTTCCTCACCTGGACGTGAGCTACGACTGCCAGCCATCGGGAAGAATTCCAGCCACCAGCTTCCCCCCAAATAAAATCTCGGGAACATGTGCATGGCTGTCCTGAGGTGCCCCTCTGCTTTCATCTCCAAGGCTGGCCCCCGGGCAGCCCAGCCTCCCGCCCACAGGAGTGCGGGCAGGGCCAGCTCTGCCCTCAGGAAGTTTGTTCTCTCCGATTAGCTGGGGAGGCCAGGTCCTGTGGCGGGACGATAGGCGGCTGGTGTGATGCCATTGAGGCAGAGGAAGTGATCAGAGAGGCCCATGAAAGATTTCTGGGCTCTGCCGGGTCCAAAAACAATACTTGGAGCTGGAACACAAAGGTTGGAGGGAACTGATGTTGGAGAGAGATGTGCCCGGGAAGGTCCTCGCGGGTCATTTCAAAGGATTCTGTTTGAACAACTTTCATCATTTTGTCTGGCCCGCTGACTTCTGTTTCCTGTTCACCTCGCCTTCTGCAAATCTCTGCCGTGAGGGGAGGAACCAGATGTCCCAGGTGGCCCCTGGGATGATGGGAGGGGCTGGCTTTTCTTTTCTTTCTTTCTTTCTTTCCTTTTTTTTTTTTCAGACTTTACTAAAAATCAGAAGATGTGTACCTTTCATTTATTTCAGAAAATGTGAACCCATTATTTTTTCAATGATCCCTTCTCTCATTCTCTTTAGTCCTTCCTCTGGAGCTCAGATACGCGTTATCTTTTCGTTCTTTCCATCCTGTCGGTTAATCTTTCCTTATGATCTATCTCTTAATTTCTTAATAACGTTAAGCAAACGTACTATTGTTCTTTAAACTGCTTCTGTTATTCTTTGGATGCCAGTTCTCACATCTGTTAAATGTACTCACTCCTCCATGGTGTTCCTTCATGTAGTTTATAATTTTCATTGCAAATTTACCTTCAGCAACCAGTATCTTTCTGTTTCTTGGGGTATTTTCTGTGATATTCCATGAGCCCTGGGTTGTGGAAGTCTAACTGTAGAGTGATTGGAGGTATGTTTCAAAATAAGGCTATCAAATGATTGCTTCCTCTATTTCCGATTCCTTGCAGCGCTCACATTTGTTTAGCTCAGTTGGCAGAAAGGAAGTCAGCAGCAGATTATCTCTTTCTTTTTTAAAAAATATATTTTTATTGATTTCAGAGAAGAAGGGAGAGAGAGAGAGAAACATCAGGGATGAGAGAGAATCATTGATCAGCTGCCTCCTGCATGCCCCACATTGGGGATCCAGCTCACAATCTGGGCATGTGCCCTGACTGGGAATCAAACTGTGACCTCCTGGTTCATAGGTCGACGCTCAACCAGTGAGCCATGCTGGCAGGGCACTGGCTTTTCTTTTCTCTGATGACTAGGACATATACGATGAGATTAGGCCCCGTTCTAAGCATTTCACAGGCACTAATTCACGGAGTTCTCATGAGAACCCCACGGGTCAGTACTACTACCTTGCCGAACAGATGAGAATCTGAAAGAGAGGTCATCAGTCTCGCATACGGGCAGAGTCAGGCTTGGGACCCAGAGCACCAAGTTCACAGTCTGGGCAGGGAAGGGCTCCCCCAGGGTGTAGACCTGCTCTCCCAGGGACCTCTGTCGGTTTTGTGAAACTTTGGGCTTTCCTGTTCTTTTCCTGGGCTTTTAATCCCTTTTGAAATAATGGAGTACAGTTTGCAGCCATTTATCAAGGGCTTTCAGACAGTTACTGTCCTGAGACCATCGGAGTGAATTCGCCAGGATCCCAGCCACTGGGGGGCCTGCACCTTCATTAGTATGTGCACACAGAGACCACAGCAGGGGTGGGCATCAACTGCCAGGGTTGCTAAGGAAGGGAGGGGTTGCTAAGGAAGGGAGGGGAACCCCTGAGCTGGCCGTGAAGGGCCAGGGGGGCTGTAGACACTGTGACCAGGAGAAGCTGTTTCTAGCATCCTCTAAGGACGAGCCCAGAACAACACTGGAAGGCCAGGATACTGGATTTCTCTCGGGCAGTGCTGTTGCCTGCCTTCCGTTAGTCCTGCAGCTGGGTTTGCCCCAGGAGCCCCACAGTTCCCTTGTCCTTGTCACACTGTTGCTCTCGGCCCCTGTCTCCTGGCAGCGGTGGCCGCAGTGAAATCCCCTGTCCCCATCTGTACCGCGTGTCCCCCGGCTCCCTTCTTTCTCCGAGTTTCCTTTCAGGCTTCCTTCCCTTAGAGCTGGTGTTGGTCCTCGTTCCCATCTGTCTTGTCCCCCTGGGCACTCTTGGAGGGGTCACCGTGCACAAGGAAGGTCATTGTTCTCGAGCCGCGAATGCCCCTTAATCTTGTTATGTCAGCCCAGTGCACGAAGGCCAGGGCCCCGTGGAGGTGAAGAGGTCTCTTTGTGAGGCCTGGCGGGGAGGAGAAGGTCAGGCCACAGCTTAGGTGAACGGCCCCTGAGCAGATGTTTGCCGGGAGAGCACAATGGGCTGATCCGCTCTGGGGAGTCACAACAGGGGTGCCCATCCATCAAGCACTGGGGGGCGGGCCGAGTCCGTGTGAAGAGAGGGGATGTTTATGGGATTTGACTGAGGCCAGGCGGGTTGGTTCCATCAGCTCCAAAGTGCTTTGCTGTTAGCAGCTGGGACGCCTTTAGTCAAGGTCTTTTGGAAAAAATACTTAGTGGATTGATGGGAGTCACTGAAGGGGGAGGTCTGGCCCACCGGTCGGGCCTGGAACTTCGCAATTCATGCTTCTAATGGCGGTGAAGGCTCCGGGGGGTCCCGATTGTGCATCTGTTTCTCGAGTCGTGCCATCGGCTGTCCAACTCCTCAGATATACTCATTTCTTCCTAATGAAATGGAACTCGGAACCTCAGTGGTGGCATTTTAACATCCGGGGGCCCGTTTATGGCTTCATCCAGATGTGTTTTGTTCACAACCAACCTGCCTTTCTTGTTGGGAAGCTAACCGTTCTTCATTTATTGGGAAGTAAGCTGAAGAACCAGAGAAAAGTGCCGGCAGCGCATCCGGGCCCTTGTCTCTTGGGTGACTTCACACGTGAAGTGCTGGGCTGAAGGCCTGGGATTTGTCCCGTCTGTTTAGTTCTTGTCTGGTTCTGGCAGCTGCTTGTCCCCGCGACTGAGTCACCTTCCTCTCTTGACCCGCAGGGCGAGACCGGTCATCACGGTGGACGTGTCCATCTTCCTCCCCGTCTCCATCAACATCACGGCGCCCCAGTGTCGCGACGGACAGCAGCCCGTGAACTGCCTGAATGTCACCGCCTGCTTTCGCTTCCGCGGCAGGCACGTGCCCGGAGAAATCGGTAATGAGCCACCGAGTCAGGGATGTTTCCGAGTTCCCGCTGGCTGCGCCTCCCGGCTGGTTTTGCAGGCAGCAGGCCACAGATGTTCAGGAAAATGAACCGTAGCTCCATCTTCCTGGTAGAGGGAGACATGCAGAAATCTGCCCTGAAACGTGCGGGCAGTGGCATTATGGAAAGGTTGGGAAGGGTAATAGGCAGCCATTGTGGAAATGGAGGTGGAAGGAGGCGTGTCAGGTGGCTGTGTGGGTCCAGCTTCCGGTGGGGGTTCTGGAGTTGGGCATAGAAGGCAGCCCCCCTGGCTCTGCATCGTCGGGAAGATCGGGTTTTCAGATGGAGGCGAGGTGGGGGGATGTCCAGGCCCCGGGCATCCTCTGCCCTCCTCCTAGACCAGCAGACGGTGCTGCAGGCCGGCTCAGTGCCACACCCAGGCCTCCGATGATGAGCCTTCCCCATTCTCGTCGCTGGTGGCTGTGGAGGAGCCGTGGTGGTGGTGGTGGTGGTGGTGGTAGTTTTGGCCACGAAGGCCTAGCACAGGAGTCCGCATATCCAGGGCTGGGAGTGTCAGCAAGGGCTGCCTGTGGGCAGTGCAGCCTGGGTTGTGCGATAAAGAGGCACCCGTGGGGAGCTAGGCCTCTGGGACAGTGGTCGGAGTGGTGTCTTCAGTGGTACCAACCTGCCGCCACCTTCGGCCGCAGCACCCCCTGGGGGATGGTTTGGGAGCCACAGCAGTTGGTGTTATTGCCTTGTCTCTGGTGGGGCTCAGGCATACGCACAGGGAGGGGACCGCAGGGAAGGGACTCCACTCGCCTCTTCCCTCTCCGCTTTGGCAATGGAAAACCACGACTCCCAGTGGCCACAGGAGTGCTCAGGGCCAGCTGGTTAGTCACGCCCTGGGGGCTGCTGTGGCTTCTGGCCGTACTGTGGGGACTCTAGAGGGTCGCTGTAGGGGTGAGTCTGCCCTGGCTCCGCAGGGGAGGGTCCAGTCAGGAAGACAGAAACCACAGCAGTTATTCTCACGAAGGGAGTGTAACGTTGGGGGTCAGTCCAGCAGGTCACAGAGGACCCAGGCAGTAACTGCAGGAAGTAGCCACCCTGCTAGGTCTGCACCAGATGGTGTCTCCAGACCAGGTGCAGCAGCAGCACCTGGGATCCTATTAGAAATGCAAATTGTAACTGAATGAGACCCTCTGAGGGTGGGGCCCAGCAAGCCTCCAGGTGGCTTAGCTTTGAGCACCTCTGGTCACCTAGGGGAACCCAGGGAAAAGGTTACACTTGGGGGGACCACTCTCTCGGGGACCTAGAAGCTGGGAGAAGAGCCCCCTGCATAGCTAGGACCTAAAGCTTGGAGGAGGGGCTGCTAGCTGGCGCTGCTGGTGTGTCTGAGGGGGTGCAGGGAGGCTGGCTGTGGGGAGAAACTGAAACTTGAATCAACTGCTGTTGGAGCCAGCTGCTGTGAAAAACGGATGCGGGGTTAAACTGGTGGGAATGGAAAGCAGGCAGGACCGAGCGAGCCCCCTCTCCCTCCGCCAGCCTTGCAGCCCCTGCCCCCCAGCTCTCCATCTTGGCAGAGCCGCACCGAGGGCGACTGGCAAAGAGGAAATGGGTTTGCCGAGCCCCATCCCGGCACCCAGAGTGAGAAGGACAGGTTTGGAGCTGAGAGACGACAGCTTCCAAAACCAGCCCAGTGGGTGTCCAGTCCCAGGGAGTTACTGAAGCACCTGCTGGGTCAGTCAATCAGCAGATCCTTATTAAGCTCTGAAAAATGCTTGGTCCTGGGCGCAAAGCGGGGAAGAGGCCAGGCAAAGTCCTGTCCTCACGGAGCTTGCGATCGAGGGCGGGGAGAGGCAGATGATCCAGACAGAAACAGCCGACGCTGCTGCCTCTGGGTGTGTCTGAGCCCCTTCAGTGGCAGCCCCTTGGCTCAGTGTTGGGGTGCAGACACAGCGCTGAGCTCCAACAGCCTCAAGAACGGGTTTATGATGTATTGCATCGAGCAAGAGGTCTGCCCACGCCAAGTCTCATGAGTCACTTCGTTCTTGGCTTGGGGAGTGGCCGTGTCTCCTCGGGGCCTCCTGGATGCCATCAGTAAGGTGGTGAATGCGTTGCCCCCGAGGACTCTGTCCCTGACCCCTGCTGGCCACGCTGCAGCCTCCACCTGCCTGTCAGTCTCTGGAGGCCGAGAAGGAGCCGGTCATTCTGGCCTCTGACCTGAGTCCTTAGAGCAAAACCAGGGCGGGATGAGCCCTAAGGGGTTGTGTTTTGTGCTCTGATTCTGCGACCTGTGCTTCCTTGGCTCTCAGTCAGCCTGGCAAAGCCAGGAGCACTCAGGGTGCCTGCCCTCCCTCTAGACCAGCAGCTGGGCCCCACGGTCATCCAAGCCAGTGCAGAAAAATAGGGTTGAAACCGGGAGACTTGACCCCTCACCCTTCCTCTGGCTTTTGGGGTGCATTTGTCTTAGCTCCTTCCAGTTTCTCCAGGGGTACAGGGATGGGCTAATGAGGCAAATCCGTGTGCGATGAGAATGGGACAGCCTGGTGTGACAATCACCACTCATTCTTTGGAAGCGGAAATCCTTGCCCTTCCTCTCCTGGGAGACCCTAAGGCAAGCATGTCAAACTCGCAGCCAGCGGGCCGCATGCCTCGTTTATTGGGCCTGTGTTAGCCTTTGAGTTTGACATGCTTGCTCTGAGGGGACCTCAGAGTAACTGGAAGGAGAATGCATGGGTTGAATTTCACCGCTGAAACCACGTTTTGACGGAACAAGGGAAGGAGTCAACTTGCTGGGAGAGACCAGAGCCAGGGCTGATGCGAGACAGCTGGCCCCCTCCTGGCCCAGGGGGGCCCTGGGGAGCCAGCTGGGGGCAGGGGCAGGAGGCGGCTGGAAGCGGTACTTGGGGCTGATCAGCTTTTCCATCAATATGACATCATTGGACATGGCATGGACACAAGCTGCCAGGAGGCAAACCTGCAGACGTGAGAGGTGCTGTTGGGGAGGGTCCTAATCAGAACCAGCCCCCTCCCGGGGGCGGCTGGCTGGGCTGCCTGCAGCAGGGCACCCTCCCCCATGGCCCAGCGCCCTCACCGAGCGGGCTGATTGGCTGCTTCCGCAACGTCTCCTCCCCTTCTTAGGGGCTCCCTTTCAGACACACGTGGGGTGGGTGCCGTTGAAAACTACCAGCCACGATCAGGGCTTCAGCATGGGCTGCACGTCTTCCTGCCACCCTGGCTGCTCCGAGACCTCCTCGCTCAGGCTGGGTTTCCATCGTTACGTCTCCTGGGGGGCCGCTTCCTTCTAGGAGAAAGAGTTTGATACGGAGGGAACTTCTGTTTGTGTAATTTAAAACGTCAAAGTAAATTTTAAATCGAGGAGAAGCACTAAGTAGGCGATCCTTAAAGATGAAAAGCTTCCAGAAGGCTCGCGCTCGGGGAATTGGAGGATTGGGTCTGTCTGCGACTGTGTGCTGTAGCATTTGAGAAGAGTCTGGCCGGTGACCGTGCCGCCATGCCCACGTGCCGCCTTGAGCAGGCGCGGCTGTGGTCCTCGGCTCAGTCTCTGAGCTGCTTCTCCCGTCCCTTGAGTCGCAAGAGGGATGGATGGCGTCCGCGATTCTGCAGTGAGATGGGGCTCTGCGGACTAAAGTTGGTCTTTGTCAAGTGCCCAGCACGGTGCTTGGCACGTGTTGAAAGCTGAGCTCATTCCCTTTTCCTGATTTGCCCCGTTTAAATTCGGATCCTCCCAGAAGCAGAGCCTGGAGTCAGGGACTCGGGGGCGCGTCGCTGATGCAGGAGGGTGACCCCAGGAAGCACCAGTAGGAAAGAGGGACAGTGAGACAGGAAGGGAAGGCGGCGGCGCCCGTCAGGGTTCTCCGGAGAAACAGAACATGAGGATGTGTGGCTCTGGAAGCGGAATGCCTTCTTTTTCGGGGGAACTTTAGTCTTCTTTTGCTTTAGGTCTTCAGCTGATTAGGTGAGGCCCACCCACATTATGGAGGGTAATCTGCTTTATTCACTTTGTACTGATTTAAATGTTAATCTCATCCGAAAAAACAAAACACCTTTGCGGTGGCATCCAAATTGGTGTCTGACCAAGTATCTGGGTACGTGGCCCAGTCGAGTGGACACACAAGCCATCATCACAGCTGCCACACAGAAGGTGTGTGGCTGAGCACGTCACCACCGTGGGCTGGAGGTGAATTCTGCGGGGGACCCTGGGAGGGAGGGTGGAGCGCCCCTCAGAGTAACCCCTCCCAAGGGGCGAGGGAGCTGGGTCATGCCGTCCTGAGGGCTGCTCTGGGCACTGGAGCCCTGGGGTGCCCCCGACCTGTCCTGCACCTGGGCAGAGCCTCCAGAAAGCCCTTGGGAAAGGGGGTGCAGGTGCTGGCAGGGGCAAGGCAGGCTGGACAGCAGAGAAGCGGGAAAAGCCAAGAGGATGTGGGTGGGGCCCTGCTGTGATCCGCTCTGTTTTCCTGCGTTCATTTCCGCCCAGGTTTTCTCTGAGCTCAGCCAGCTCGCTGCCGGCAAGATGGGTCAAACCTGTGTTCTCTGCATGGTCACCCTTCCCGAGGGAGGGTCACCACAGCACTGTCACCTGGGAGGAAGGCCAGGGAGGGGGCTGCCCAGAGGCCCCGGTTGGCAGCTGCCACCACCACAGTGGTGGTTTGCCAAGGCCTCCGGCTCCTCTTCCATCGTCGACACCCACCGCTAGCTCCGATCTTGCTAAACAGAACTAGGACGCTCACTTCACGTACACTTGTCCTTTCTTACTGTGTGGCTGTTGCTCAGAGCAGTGGTGACCAGTAAGAAGGAAATTGGCCGGAGTTCAGTTCTAGATCTTCGCGCTTGTTTGGCTGTGCACTCAAAAATGCGAGGTGTGTTTTTTGTCAGCCGTATAAGAAATGCACCAAGAACCCGTGTGGTTAGGAGTAGCCCGCATGGCAGACTAGGGAGGTCTAGATCCCACCCTGAGGTGCATGGCTCTCTGGCCTGGAGCAAGTCTTGTTCGCTTTTGAGGCCTCAACTCCTCATCTGAAAAATGAGGGTTTGGACGAGGTGGTCCCTAGGATTGCCCTGAATGCTTGACGTCCTGCGCATGCACCCCATTTTCCGCTGTTGTCGGCAAGGGAGTCGGGGTGTTGCTCTTGCACAGGCTCCTGTGTGTTCTCTGCTGAAGTACTTTCCCACAGGCATTCTTTTCCTCTTAATAGTGTCTCCCGGGATGATCTAGGTCCCAGGTCGCTCCCGGGGACCAGCCTTGCCGTGGACATCAGCTGTTTGCTGCAAGAAACAAGTTGGGGCAGACTGGCCCTTGCTGCCCAGGAATCCGCCAGCTTGGCCTGGCAGGACGCCTGAGATGGCAGAGGCCCAGGGAAACCATTAAATGCATCAAAAACACGCCCGGTGGCAGCTGCAGAGTGCCAGCCCAGGTCACTCTCTCTCTCCTGCTCCAGGCCTTCCCTGGTGGCTGAGCCCTGTGATGGGATTCAAAGCTGGAGCCATCCGGGTGCCTGGCCTCCCAAACATCAGTGCCCGTGGGTGTGAGGATGCCAGAGCCCAGCTTCCAAGAGGCTGGGGGGTGGGGCCGGGGCAGGGGCTGGGTCGTCTGCCTTCCCATTGCTCAGCAGTCTCGTATCGTCGCTTACGGACAGAAAGTTCCTTTTCTCTCACTTTACAAATGTCATCTCCCACAAAGCAGCTAAAAAATGAAGTGGTACAAAGGGGCTGACCTCTGAAACGGGGTTCTTTGGTACAGATGAGCAGGGAAATAGGCCTGTTGATACTAATGCCGTATTTACCTACTAAAACACATTGTCCTATATTTTCTAACAGATTCAAATAACAGAGGCGGAACCTTTTGGGTTCATCCAATGTGCATTCTTTATTGGGACCATTTTTTTTTGAAGTCCCAGATTGTGTCATAGCAGGCTCTGCCAGCTGGCATTATAAGTGATGAGTTTTGCTCTGCAGGAGGGCACCTCATACATGCCCCACGGTGGTCATGGTTTTGTTAAAATGGTAGGCACGCTACAGTGTGTGATTACCGCATGTGGCTTCAGACTGTGTGTGAGTTTCCGTGAGAGTCAGTTCTGTGAGGACAGGGGATTGGTCTGTGTGGTTCACCAGTGTGTCCCCTGCACCCGCACAGCGCCTGGCACACGGACTGTACCCAGTGGTGCACAACCCAGTGGACGGAGTGATGACGGAGCACAACCTAGCGTCTGCGATGTGAGTCGGAAATGAGTGGCTAATTCCTCCCTGGTGTTGGGCATAGATCCCATTGCTTTGTAGAAGTCACTCCTACAGGCAGCCTGATCTTTTGAGCAGCTCCTAGTGCTATTCTGTGGGTTCGACGGGGTGTCTGCTTGGCAGGACACGGATCGCGTTGAGCACCGCGGATTGTTGACGCGGGTCTTGGTGGCTCAGTTGATAGTTCATGAGGTTTAGATCGGGGGGAGCCACGGAGTGTGATGCGCAGAGGCTCGGCAGGAAGGCCGGGGCCCCTGGTCGTCTCTGGATTCTGCCAGCACCTGGCTGTATGCTTCTCGCCGAGGAGGTGTAGGCCCAGGCAACAGGCCCCTGGGCAGCGGAGGGTTAGGTGTCTGAGATGCCCTCGTGATCCTGTGAGGAGGAGTGGAGCTGGCTGGACCCTGTGTGTCTGTCCTCCCTGACATTGCGACCTTATGTCTCGGCAGGCCTGAATTACGTTCTGACGGCGGATGTGGCGAAAAAGGAAAAGAGCCAGCTGCCCCGGGTCTACTTTGTGCTGCTGGGAGAGACCGTGGGCCAGGTCTCGGAGAAGCTGCATCTGGTGCACATGCAGGAGACGTGTCATCACTACCTGGCGCACGTGAAGGTCAGTCCTGCTTTGCATCCTCCGCCTTTGAGGTCTGCACATGTGCGCGTGGGGCTGTGAGAGCTGCGTTCGTTGTGCATTGCGCGTGCTCTGGCGTCCAGCATCTTCACGAGCAGGAGAACATTCCTTTCTTCTTGTTTTAAAGTTTGAGTCTGACAGCCCTTTATTTATATTATCGTGCTGGTCTCGGTCCCCGAGGGGCGTTGTGGTGGGTGGGCCAGGAGAGCAGTCACCCCCTCGGTCTTTGACTTGGCCTTTTGGGAGGTTTCTCTTCCTCTCCCCTCGAGGAGGCTCAGTAATCTTCTCAGAGGAGAGTCACAGAAGCACATGCTTCTGGGTCTGCAGTGATGCTGGATCGCACCGCACCTGATGCCTGCTCAGTGGTCCACTACGTGTTAGCTCAGAGTCATGGGTGAGGCGTTTTAAAACTGGTTGGACTAGATTTTTCTCCCTTGGACTAGGTTTTTCTCCCCGGATTACTTTCTGTTTATTTTAGGAGTGCATTCTTTTTGGCTTCTTTCCCCTCTCACTCTAAATAAATGCTCAAATGCTTTTCTCCTCTTGAAATTGTTTGTTAAATACACTTTGCTGCTAATTCAGGAGGCCAGCCTTTGATTAGCTACAGAGTGGGCCCTGCGTAGGCAGGCGATGTCAGGGTGGGAATCTTGGTTGTGACCAGTGCTGAGGAATGACCAGCCACTGACCCACAGGCAGAGAGCGCAGGAGGTGGGAGGACCCCTGTGATCCAGGCCAAATGGGAGGTGAAATGAATGTGGGCTTTGGAGTCTCACAGACCCAGTTGGTGTCCAGTCAGATGAATACGCTGACTTCTCTGTGTCTCAGTTTCTGCAACTCTAAAATGGGCACAGTAGCCCTAGCTGGTTTGGCTCAGTGGATAGAGCATCAGCCTGCAGACTAAAGGGTCCTGGGTTCCATTCCGGTCAAGGGCACATTCCCCGGGTTGCGGGCTCAATCCCCAGTGGGGGGCATGCAGGAGGTAGCCGATCAATGATTTCTCATCATTGATGTTTCTCTCTCTCTCCCTCTCCCTTCCTCTCTGATATCAATAAAAATATATTTAAATAAATAAATAAAATGGGCACAGTAATACTTACCTTGAAAGGTGGTTGTAAGAATTAAACATTACATGATGAATACACTTACAGAACCTTGCATTGAGCCTGAACACAGCAGATGCTAAGTAAGCATCCTTATTATTTGGTTTGGCTATATGTAATCGCCAATATTCTAACAGTCTTAACTTACAAAAATGGCAATTTCATGTAGTTTAACCTAATATTATTAGCCAGTGACTTTCTGATGATCGCAAAAATAGTCCACAGATTAGGGATGAAGTGTCATTCTATTATTGCCCTAAGTGCCAGAGCAGGAGAATAACAGCTGCTTCTAGATGTTTCTGGGCTGTATATAGAGAAATGGGGCACACATCCATGGCACTTGGCCGGGCCCAGAGCCCATGAGTCCATGCCCCTGAGAGGCCTTTCATTGGGGCTGGGTTACGTCTCCTGCCAGGACTCGTGCTGGGACCTGCCCAGACCCACTGCCCTAAGGACCGGGTGAAAGCCATTTATAAAACAGTTCATCCCACCCTTAAAAGCCCTCAGGATGGATGACCCAGCAGCTGAAGGTAAGCATTATCATTTGGTTGGGCAAATGCAATAATAGAATGACACTTCACCCTTAATCTGTGGACTATTTTTGCTGTTGTCAGAAAGCCACTGGCTCATAATATTAGGTTACACTACATGAAGTTGCCATTTTTGTAAGTCAAGAAGACTGTTAGAATATTGGCAATTACATATAGCTAAATCAAATGATAATAAAGCTTAGCACCTGCTGCGTTCAGGCTCCATGCAAGGTCCTTTAAGTGTACTCATCATGTGATGTCTCATTCTTGCAACCACCTTTCAAGGTAAGTAAACGTGCCCATTTTAGAGACGCTGAAACTGAGACACAGAGCGGTCAATGTATTCATCTGATTGGACACCAAGTGGCTCTGTGAGACTCCAAAGCCCACATTCATTTCACTTACCACATGGTCTGGGTCTCAGGGGTCCTTCCACCTCCTGTGCCCTCTGCCTCTGCCTGTGGGTCAGTGGCTGGTCATTCCTCGGCACTGGGCACTCCCAGAGCACACCCTTGCCTTTCACCCCCTGGATCCGTCCCCTCCCCCAAGGCATGTTACCTATACCCTTCCCTCTCCTAAGCTCTAAGGGCCCTTTCTTTTGCCCGAGTAACTTGTTTGCTGAGCCCATTTCTTCCCCCGCTCACTCCTACCTCCGTGACTTTCTAAATAAGTTTTCTCTTATAAAAATAAACAAATAAAACAGTTCATGCTCCTGTTAAGCCAACCAGCCACCTACCCCTCTAGGTGTTACTTCACTTTGGCTTGGGGGTGCGAGGCTGCTCACACAGGCTCACATTCTAACATGGCCTGGTCTTAGGTACTTGTGCTTGGTCTCTCCGTACTTCCTGGAGGCGGGGCATCTTCCCTGGGACTTCCTCCTGCTGGGTTTCCCTCACATGCTGTCCTTCAGGGCTCTGGGGCTTCTTGCTTTGGCTGAGAGATAGGGTCGCACAGACCTTACCAGGCCTCTGCAGAGTGCCCTCGGGGAACAGCGACCCTGAGGTGCGGGCCAGAGGCAGCCTCCCAGGGTTCCCTGAGGAAGAGCAGGGCGGCCAGAGGCCTTCCTCCTGCCACTCCCTGACATCCAGGGCAGCCAGATTTAGCAAATAAGACTATAGGGTTTCTGGTTAAAGCTGCATTTCAGATAAACAACAAATAATTTTTTTTAGTATAAGTACATCCCAAATAGTGCATGTGATACACCTCTATTAAAATTTATTTGTTGAAATAGTTATGAGGATGCAAAGTACAACACAGGGAATCAAGTCACTACTAATATCGTAACGACTGTGTAGAGTACCAGGTGGGTACTGGCAGTACCAGGGGGAACACTTTGCAAAGTATAGGATTGTCTCTAACCATACCCTTGGAACTCATACAAAACGATACTGAATGCAAACTGTAATTGAGAAATAAAACGAAAAAGAGCTAAATTTTAATAAAATGTATCTGTTGTTTACCTGAATTCACATTTAACTGGGCGTCCTGTTGGAAGGCGCACCCTATCCATCGCCTCCCACTCCACGTGTCACACTTCTCCGTTCAGTGCAAACGTGGCTGAGGAGGGGAGAGAGTGAGAGGTGGTCCTAGAACGTGGAGGCTGAGGCTAGGGCTCAGGAGTGCAGAGCTGGTGTAGACCTTCCTGTGATTGTCTGGGTCACAGTAGGGAACAGCAGTGAACTTGGACCTGGCGAAATGCGGATATAGTTTATTGCTTGACCATTTTTTCATGCAGGGAGATGAGGGTGGGTAGCTACATCAGAAAGGCATGAGCCCCAAGGCGTTGATGGTTTGAGGCAACATCCTTGTTAAGCAGCACTCAAGGTGTCTGATAACTTATTGCCACAAGGAGAGGTGTGTGTGTGAGTGTGTGTGTGTGTGTGTGTGTGTGTGTTTCTACTAGTATTGTCTGGGTCCTATCAGAGGACCCTGGTCATGGCCAAGTAAGCCAGTGAGGGTGAGCGCTAATGAGCTGGCTGGCTGTCTGCGGTGTGGCCCAGCTGGCCTGGCCTGTCGTTCCTCCAGATGTGGAGAAACAGCTGTGGAGGCCAGGGCACTTGTGGGGCCGAGACAGGCAGCAAGGCTGGGGGGAGGATCACCGCCTGGCTGCCTCCGGGAGCGAGGACTGGGAGCTGGTTGTCACAGCCTGAGAGCTCGGTGCAGCCTTCGCCTCAAGTGGAGGCTGTCAGAGGGTTTAATAGACAGCGGAGGAAGATAAATAAAAGCGCGCTGGCTTATCGCACACCATATGGCCGGCAGACAGTGAGGCAGGCCGGCCGGGCGGCCGTGTTTTGTTTAGGCTATCTTTAGGTTCTTTTTTCTTTTTTTCTTTAAGCCTGTTCCAATCTTTTTCCCCCCCTTCCTCCTTTCCCTGGTTTTATTCCTTATATGGTGATAAGGATCTCCATCCTAGAGGACTGCCTGGGCTAACACCTGCCTCCAGGCTCCAGCTTGGCCTGTGTTTTGTTCTGTTTGTGCCCCTGGTGGGGCCTCCAGGACATACAGGATTTGGGGATGAGCCCCCTCCTCCTGTGGCTGCCAGTTCCATTCTCAGGGCCTCCCTGTGGTCATCAGCGCCGAGGCCCGTCCAGTTGCTTCCTGGGCCTCTCTGCCTCACAGCCCACATGCCTCACTTTTTCTCCTCTCCTCCCCCCAAATCAGCCCCGTTTGGGGGACAGGCCCCTTCCGGTGAGGGGGCTGGAAACCTTTGTGAATCCCCACGATCAACAGGCCACACACCACCCGTCAGCCTCAAGGCTTTCTCCACCACGTGGCCTCAGTTTACCTTCCCAGTCTCTCTGAATCGAATGCGCCCTGGTGAACTGACCCTTTCCTCCTGGGACGTGCCCCGTGCTTCCTGCCTTGGTTCTGGGGCTCGCCCCAGCATCTCTGACTCTTCACTTGTCAGAGACCCAGCGTTTTTGTTTTTGATAGGTTTGTATTGATTTCAGAGAGAGGGAGAGATAGAAACATCAATGAGAGAGAAACATCCATCAGCTGCCCCCTGCACGCCCCCTACTGGGGATCGAGCCTGCAGCCCTGGCATGTGCCCCAGCTGGGAATGGAACCATGACCTCCTGCTGCATGGGACAATGCTCCACCAACTGAGCCACAACCGTCATATTTTTTTCTTTAAATCAGCTGACTTCCAGCCTCAAATAAAGTAATTTAAAACAGAAACGCTGTACCCCCCTGTAAGCAGAAAACCAATTATCGCATGCCAAAATAGAAAGTAACTGTAAAAATAAATACGTCGAAGACACAACAACGTCATTGAATTCTAACTGGATTTCATTGTTTGCCAAGTGTCTGAAGAAGCAGCCTGCTGTCGTGTTAGGAGGGGAGGTTATGG